CCAGTGTGCACCTAGTGGTTTGGCAAACTGTGAAGAATATCACATTGCTATACAGAAAGGCTGATCATGAGCAGAAATGATTCTATTTTTTGTAGGCACATTAAAGACTCCTTCTTTAGTCCCAAGGGCAGGTTTAACAGGTGTAACAGTCTTTTCATGACTGCCTGTTGAGGTCTTTTAAAATGGGTCATTCACTGATGGCAGTTTTAAATGGCTTTGTTCTGTCTCAAAAATTGTATTGTTTCCATTGAGATTATCTTTCAGGTTTTCCTCTTGACCTTCTTGCATTCAGTGATGTTCCTCTGAGAGCTATCCTGATGTTTCCCAGAATGGAAATATATTTCAATCCTTGTGGGAAATCTTGAATATCAATTCATCAGTGTGAAAATAAGTTCATAAGACTCCTGCAGCATTAACTTTGTAGTACTAAGGCTAATGATTTTTCTCCTCAAAGAGCCCAAGAAAACAGAGAATTTTTTTAATCTTTTTATAGGAATAGAGCTAAAGCACAGATTGCCTGAATTGTGCAAGGTTATGCAAAAAGTTTGCAGCAGAGCTGGGAAGAGAACCTTTATCTCTGGATCACATAAAAGATTCTTTATTCCGTAAGAACATCTTGCCTTGCCTAGGCTTTTTTTTATGGCGTTGCTTCATAGTGCTTTTATAAATCAGCTAATCTTTAACAAATAAGATCACATAAGGTTATTTTGCGAGTGGCTGATTTCACTATTAAAAATCAAGTCAAGCTTATGGCATTTAATAAGACAAGGCATGAAATTCAATTTTACTAGAGAAAGTAATGAGTTTTTTGAAGAAATTTTCTGTCTGCTCCTCAACCACAAAATAATGGAGGATGTTTTTTAAATCAGAAAATAGAAAAGAAAGAATTTTAAGGAAAAGGATGATGGAGACTTGTACTGTGTAAGGGAATATTAGCTGTATTTGCAGGTGGGATTTTCCTTAAAATGAGGCAGTGGTATTTCCACTCAGATTTAAGAGCAGTTATCATGAGATAGATAATACTTTGCAACTGTGAAAATCATAATATACTGAAACAGAAGGTGATTTTGCACCCTACTGAAAATCTAAATCAGCCCTTCTAGATGTCAAAATGTGACTGTTCACTTTTAATAAAGGGAACAAACCAGTTATTAATATTCTGATGTGCAGGAGTTGGGTTATTTGGAGGGTGCTCAGGAAAGAGTAATTTTAAATTACTCACTTTGCAAATGGTGGCATACCTAATACACTGTGCAGGGACAACGGGCACGCTGCTTTTGCAGTGAAAGATGTCTTACATGTGTACTGTGAAGTCATGGAAAGGCAGAGGTGGCATCTGGGATAACTGAAAGAATAATGGAGAACTGAGGACAGGGAATACCACCTGACTGTCAATATCACATTATTTTTCTAATATAGCTGGCCAGAGGCATCAAACAGCTGTTGGAACTTGAGATATGTCTTTGACTGCCAGGTAGCATCAGACTAACAGAAATAAGGCACCACGAGGAGCCAGGCTGAGCAATCAGCCTGCTGTAACCCAACAGCCAAGGACCTTCAGGAAGAAGCAGGAGCAGGGCTGCTTCCTCCAGGCATGGAAGCTGGGAGCTGAGGTCAGGTTGTGCTGGGATGCAGAGCCTGAATGCAGCAGGCAGAATTGGCCCCAGGCATGGTAAAGTGATGAACCAGGTCCCGGGTCCAACCAGAGAGCCCAGTCAGGAGGCGGGACCAGAAACAGGACTAGTGACAAGGCTCCAGTGTGGCTCCAAGCCCACCTAGGAACCAGGGCCAAAGTTAGGGCTGCAGACCACCTACGGTGTATATATGAGGGATCCATCCAGGAGCTGGAGTTGGATATAAGGCTGTGCCTACAGCACTGCTCAGGTGGGGACTGAAGTCCCAGCCCTGAGCTCAGCTTGAGCCCATGGGCAGGGTGTGCGTGGAGACCCCAGGTGAGGCTGGTCAGGGTCATTCAAGGCCATTCAAGGCCTATTGGTGCACTCATGGCTCTGACATGCATTATGGGCAGGTTGTCCTGGTGGATTCAAGAATGCAAAAATACAGAATACAGCAAAAATAAGAATACAGCAAAAAGCTGTATTCTAGGCTCTAGGTTGTACCTGGTAGCTGCAGATTAAGGACAGTAGTGAAAAGAAAACCAGCGCAGCTGAGGAATAGTACAAGACCATGGGGATCTCAGGTCTAGGTCTGGAATGTGTCCTGATCATCATTGGAAATGCTTCAAGAGAGTGAGAAGAGAGAAAGGTATTAGAGTAACACGAAGACTGACAAACTGTCTCTTGCCAAAGTGAAGGCAATGGCAAGGCTGAAGGATACTGGTCTCCCACCAACAGCCAAAATTCCCAGTAAGAGACTATTGTGAAGACCAGCATGCTTCAAGAAGTAAGAGGCTTACTTTGTCAGAACAGGGAAATAACCTTTTTTTTTTTTTCCGATTTCGGTTTAGATTTTTAGGAATACACTTCTATAAACCACTTTGAATTGTTCACCTGATTCCTTGTTTGTCATTGGACAAATCACTTGGGCCTCCTATCCTTCAGCTTTTCACATATGGAAAAAAAAGGAGGCATAACACTCGCTACCCTGCAGTCTAAAGCTCTGTAAGATAAGAGCCATGTGTTTGAGATTTTAAGAAAAAAGTTTCCATGAAGTTTTCTTTTATGATACACTTACTAAAATCAAAAGATACATCACTAAATAATGAATTCCTGAAATTCTGTGAAACAGTGTGGCTTAACAACCAAATAAAGCAGATAAAAATTGCTATAGCAGCATGGAGAGTCGATATTTATTAGTTCATGTTTCTCATCTCTTTCTACCTTTCATCTTTTATATCCTTAAATTGTATCTGCATGCTTTGTGAATCATTGCCAGATTTCATCAGCACCACTTTGCTTTCCATTTTGTTTCATTTTATATTTCTATTCTTTGGAAGACATATAAAATGAGATTACTTGTGTGCTCTGAGTTACTTCATGACAGACTGTTTTGTTGGAAGAGATTAAAATGAACTTCCCCTCCTTTTGTGAGTGAAATGTTGGCTCCAGAAAGAGGAGTTTAAATGGGACACTAGCAGTGTGTGAGTTTAGGACTGATCTTTCACTTAAGCTCAGTTTTTGTTTGCCCAAGAATGTGCTTAATCAACACATTATTGTGGTTAATACTTCACTGTTAAGGATAATTCCTTACACTAGGAATTCTACTGAGTGCAGCACCAAGTAAAATGTTGACACAAACATCATCATAGTCATTGATCTATTAATGGATTCATCTGAAATTTATGTAGTGTATTACCTTTGTGCTATCATTTACTGCAGTGCCAAACTGAGGTCATAAAAGCTCATGCTACTAAAAATTATATCATTAGATATTTGGTTATTTTTCCTTAATTTAATTTTAAACTGTATTCTGCATGAATATACTTGTTGGCAGACATGTTATGAGGAATACAAAATTATGATGAGAATACTCAATATGTGTTTTTTTGCTTTTAAGATGTAGGTTATAAATATACTTTCCAGACTTTGTTAAGCATCAGGTTGAGAGAATAAAGGGAGAAGAAATAGGAACTGAACTCTATTATGGGAAAACAAAAATGCAAATTTAGGCATTTGAAAATGAGAACTATGGAGCTACGTTGTGATCAGGTGCAAAATGACTTTAATGGAGGAAGAGATTCTATAGCTGCTGCTGCTGAAACTGATGGTTTTCATACCTGTGATTTGCATTGTGGTAAAGTTTGAAAGCTACGATTAGAGATCTTTATTGTTCTTGGCAAACTTGAATACAAAGCTTGAATTACAATGGAATTTCTAGGAGTAGAATTTTGAACTTTCATGAGATTTTATTGTTTGAACTTGCTATTCTCACACATGGATACATTTAATAGCTTTACACTGGCAAAGTGACAGGATTTTTTTCCTCCATCTCTGAAAGCTAATTCTCATTTCAGATATGTATGCTTGAAGTAAAGTTATTGGGGTTTTTTTGCTGATCTTTTACTGGAGGTTAAACTTTCTGTTTTGTTTAGCTTTGTTGAGTAGCCTGACTGTTAACTGTCAGCCTACAATTTATTTAATGGAGGTTGATATAATTTCTGTTACATGAAAAAAACCAAACAACCAAACCACAACAACCAGGTTCTGTACTGAATATTTGCTTTTCTATCTGATATCTTTACTTTGCATCCCCATGTAATTTTCACTTGATATCTTTCCCCATCTGTATGCTTTACAGGGTTTTTTCTCAGCCAATGTTTTTTAAAGCAAAGACTTGGAAGTTTGGTCTCTATTGTGTGGACTAAGGTGTAAATAAATTAATGGTGATCTGCATCTCGGTATTTTAAGTGCCTTGAAGGACTTGAATAGGAAGGTGTTATGAGTTCCCTCCCTCTGAACATAATGGCTGTGCAAGGTATCTCCAGTGGGATACCTAAAGCTCTAGGGTTTTTTTTGTCTCTTTAGGTATCTCAATTCCCCATATATCAAATAGCAATGATGACTGTCTTCTAGTGTTCAGGGAGTTATAGGAATGTTTGAGGAATCCTTCCCCTCTAGACAGGTGTCTGTGCTATGACACTGTTAAATCTCAACCTGGTAACCTTTTGCCTGAACTGGGAAGATCCATCTATTGTAACTTTAGTTGGATATTTAATCTGATGCATCTATTTAACGGAAAAAAAAAAAGAGCTTGTTTAATCCCATCCTAAGGTCAGTTTTTAACAGTTACTCTGTACAGCTGCTTTTTAGAGGTAATGGTAGATTGAACCTCACTGATTAACTCAGCCTAGACACCTATTCTTGAAATAACAAAAGTTAGATGAAAATGCCAGTTTGCATTTGCTTGAATTTGATTAATTTGGGGTTTGTTGCTTAAGTGCATCAATTAAGACTCATTGTTCTAACTATCTTTCATTTCTGCTTATTTTTTCTTACCCTGAAAAGTTTAACATGCATTCTTTCTTTTCTTCTCTTTTCCAGCACTGTGTGGAGGAGAGGAGAGTTTCTTGTGTGCCAGTGGGATCTGCATCCCAGGGAGACTGCAGTGTAATGGCTACAATGACTGTGATGATTGGAGTGATGAGGTCCATTGCAGTAAGTTTCTTAAACCTTGCAGTGTTCTGTTGAAGCACTGAATCCATTCAGGAAAGCCTAAAAACTAAAGAAGGCTATTGGTACAGAATAGGAGCTTTGCATATTATTTGCATATATTGACATTTGGACTCTCAGTTGCCATTGAATGTGTTTACCTTTGCTCACTCTGGCCACAGCATGTGTTTTTGATCTATCAAATTTTATGCCTGGAAGCAGATTCTAAGATTTCTGCAAGGAGCCATGTGGAATTAGAAGTATTTTGGGGCATTTTCTTTTTTGATGGATCAGTAACATGCATCAGAAGAGCACTTCTGATAATAAACTGAAGACTGTTAGTTGTATCTTTTTCCTAGTCCTTGGCATTTATTTTACAGCAGATGCAAAACCATCTTTTTAGAAATTTCTCTTGGCCTCAACCCTGGATGTGGTTTATTTAAATAAATCCCAGTACATGGTGCTGTAGAAAAGAAAAATGAATATACATGCTTAATAACTTAATTTCTTATTTATTTCTCTGTGGTAGTGTGTATCTTTAGAGCTCCTGTGTGTTTTTCTGTGTTGACAAAAACATCCTTGGACTACTAACACCTTTAGAAAACCTGAGCAAATGTACAGTAGAAAAACAATGAAAAGGAAAAAAAAAAGAAAAAAAAGGGGAAATGTGGAACAATGACTAAATAGGGACTATAGTAGGACACGATGCCACAAAACAGTGCTGTGCATTCAGACTTTGGAAAATGTCAGACCTGGGGTTGAGTTCCAGACTGTGCAGTTTAAACTCACCTCAAAATACTTGTTCTTATTAGTGATTTAAGAGCCTGGCCATTCCAAGACTCACAAAGCTGCTTTTAAAGGAGTTGCTGATAGATTTTATCTGGGATACTCCAAGGAATAAATGATGACTGCAATTTCCTCCTGGTCTTAATATGAATGAGGCTAGAGCTTGCTTTTCCTTTAATAACCTACAATTTATTTAATGGAGGTTGATATAATTTCTGTTACATAAAAAGTATTGTATTTTATCTTTGAATTTTTCCTGTCAGTGTTAACTTCGGCTTTTAATGTAAGCTAAAAAATTGAAAAATGCCTATGAGACTGTGGCTCTCAAGTTCCATTAGAAATGGGAAAAGAAGAAATTAGTAATATAAGAATAAAAATATTACGACTTGAAAAAACAAGCATTATAAATTTCATGAGTTAAGATTACCTTTAAAAGAAAGCCTTCTGTTAAATGATACAGGGTTTATAGGCAGAGCATGTCTTTTATTAGGATACTTGGTGAGAGTTGGGGAGAGGAGGTGGAGGTCAAATAAGACCTTCTTGAATTACACAGCAGAAATAGCAAAACTGAAGGAGGACTTACTTGCCTGAAAGCTTGTCTGATAAAAGATGCTGTGTTTCCTGCGGTCCTTGCCCCTCTCAAATTCTTAAGTCACCTCATAGAATCACAGAATACTTTGGGTTGGAAGGGACCTTTAAAGGTCATCTGGTCAAACCCCCCTGCCGTGGGCAGGGACATCTTCAACTAGATCAGGTTGCTCAGAGCCCCGTCCAGCCTGACCTTGAATGTTTCCAGGGATGGGGCATCCACCACCTCTCTGGGCAACCCATTCCAGTGTTTCACCACCCTCAGCGTAAAAAATTTCTTCCTTCTATCTAGTCTAAATCTACCCCCTTTTAGTTTAAAGCCATTCCCCCTTGTCCTGTCGCAACAGGCCCTGCTAAAAAGCCTGCCGCCATCTTTCTTATAAGCCCCCTTAAGTATTGAAAGGCCACTCCTTCTCTAGGCTGAACATCCCCAACTTTCTCAGCCTTTCCTCATAAGAGAGGTGTTCCATCCCCCTGATCATTTTTGTGACCCTCCTCTGGAC